CGAATAGTGGTTAACGTATAGCATCGCTGTGTGATCCTTGTTTTATATAATAAAAAGGTTATAGAATGTTTAAAAATTAGTAATTATAAATTACCAGATTCATTGCAATACAATCATTGTAATTCCATTCAGACAATAATTTCAGCAAGGTTGATTTCAATAATTGAGAATTCATAGGATCAATAGATTGAAAAACGTTCATGCTGATCTGAATACAATTATCATCATCCTGTATTTATACAACAAATTCAATCGTATAATCAAAAATATTTAGACTGAGCATGATATAATCAACTCACATAAGGCATATAGAAATTGTCGGTCAGTTTGTCGTAAAACTTAAAACCCAATAACGCCAGTAACTCATTGTAGCCGTACTTCATTAGCGCCACCCTATCCTCAATGCATATAGTATTGAATCCGGACAGAGATTTAGTGAAATTGACCATGTCCATTATTAAATCTTCTTGCTTTTGACCACAATTTATGAGCATTTCTTGAAAAGTATTTATTTTAAAAACAATATTGTTAGACATCTTGTAATTAAACACAACGGCAGCGCTCGTCAGTTCACATATCCTATTGTTTTCCAATGCATTCAAACCGTTATAATCCGTGATTTCCCTAAACATGGGAACAACTGACGTGTTTTTGTTGTTTTCATTTATTTTCAGCAAATCCTCCTCTAATGTAATGCTTGTAATATTTTTTCCAATGTCTGTAATCTCATCAAAATTTACATCAATTGAATTGTTGAGCAATTCATCCAAAATGTCTTTATCTGTGTTTTCATTGAAAATAATTAAATCCTTTGATGAGACCGTAGAGGAAGGCATCGATATATCGGTAAAACTATCACATTTTTGTTTTGCTTTATTTAATTTATTATCGCTAATAATTTTCTTTCTCTTCTCATTTTGCTCATCACTTCTAATGAATTCCTATTAAAACATAATATTTGTTACAATTTATTAATTATAATTATAAATACTTTTCTCATCCCAACTGCGAAACACTTTTCGAGTCGACATTTTTTACATATCCTTCTCGTCAATGGATTTATAATGCAATTACCATTTGATGGACAATACAATGGCTGACAATTCAATTATAAATTTTGTAATTACATAATTACAAAATATTTAAATTAAATTAATTAAAAACCTTATTTTTAAGTCCATTGCGTCTAAAGAATGATTTACACGACTCACACGTTATTACAGTAAAATTTCTGCCTAAAATGAGCGTGATCAATAAATAATTAAATTACAATTTATGTTTATAAAATTATAAAATAGTATTTAATATAAATTATAATAAAAGCATTTAATACCAAATCCTTTAGCGCCGCAAACTTTGCATATTTCATGGGATTTGCTGTCATTTAATTTACTATTCATTGTTTGCATTAATGTTGATTAAACACATAATTTATGTCACAATTAAATGCAAAAAATTGTAAATTTGACATATTTGTTGTTTACTAAAAAATTTATATACTGTATAACAGAACATTATACTTGAGATAACATCACAAGTATTACAAAGTCTAATAAATCATTTTCAATGCCAATTAAATGGTTACCACGATATATTTTTTAGCACATTAAGTTATATACCTTGATTATTTTATATTCAGATGCATTAGCCCTCTTTGTAGAATATAGTTTTTCACTGTATATTACTTATAAATAATTTTATAAACAACCCTTTAATTTTAGGACACTTATTAACACAATAGAAACGTTTGTATATTATATGGAGATTTTATTGTACAATAATTGCATCAAACTGTATTTCCTAATTGCATTTTAGTTATATAATGCACATGTATGTTATATGAATTAACTTTATGAAAATATTCCAATAAGGGGTCTATAATCCTATTCATTGTAGTATTAATTATTTATAATATAAGGTTATATATAATTTGTGACATGTATAATTTAAGTCATAATTAAATATAAAAATGTTAAAACATATAGAACTTGTTTTGATATTTATTACAACATTTTATACTGTATATAACAACACTCAAGAGGTAGCATGATAAGTATTTTATTACACAGTCCGATTCAATGGCGTAATTAATGCGGTTATGAGCATTTCATAAATTATTTTAACAAATTTCATTGTTTATAAATGATAATTTTATAAATATCAATAGTCATCAATTATTTATCTGTTAACTATCATAAACTAAATAGTTCGTTTACAAGTGGACCTAGATGGTGTTTATTATCCTTGTATACCGGTGTACCAATTGTCATTTGCAATTCATTGTATAGATTTAAGTCTTTCAATGAAAACATTAGTTTTGTAGTTTTAGTCTCGATTCCGATTCTGACCGATATTTCAATAGTAGATATCTTTGCAGTAAATATATATACAGTTGTTGTTCGAGTCTATAGANTTAGTTTTGTAGTTTTAGTCTCGATTCCGATTCTGACCGATATTTCAATAGTAGATATCTTTGCAGTAAATATATATACAGTTGTTGTTCGAGTCTATAGAATAATAATTTTGAACAAATCAATTTAGTTATAGTTAATTAGTTTAAGTTAATTTATATCACAACTTACTTAACACTTTTTTTATGCAATATATTCGGTCGATTCGGGTTATAGAATATTATTGCCATTAACTGTAAGTTTGGTTTTATAATTAAAAATTATATAATGTTAGAATAGAGAGGTAAAATTAGTTAATCATAAATTACCAGGTTCATTGTAATACAATCATCGTAATTCCATTCGGACAATAATTTTAGCATAGTTGATTTCATTAGTTGACCATTTTTAGTATGAGTAGATTGTAAAACGTCCATACTGATCTGAATACAACTTTCATCATCCTGTATTTATACAATAAATTTATTAATATGCAATTAAAAACATTTGGACATAGCATGATATAATCAACTAACTAATGGGAAATAGAAATTGTCGGTTAATTTGTCGTAAAACTTAAAGCCCAATAAAGAGAGCAACTCATTGGAGCCGTACTTCAATAGCGCCACCCTATCCTCAATGCATATAGTATTGAATCCGGACAGAGATTTAGTGAAATTGACCATGTCCATTATTAAACTCTCTTGCTTTTGACTACAATTTATGAGAATTTCTTGAAACGTATTTATTTTAAAGACAACATTATTTGATATTTTATAATCAAACACAACGGCAGCGCTCGTCAGCTCCGATATCCTATTGTTTTCCAATTCATTCAAACCGTTATAATCCGTGATTTCCCTAAACATGGGAACAATTGACGTGTTTTTGTTGTTTTCATTTATTTTCAGCAAATCCTTCTCTAATTTAATGTTTGTAATACTGTTTCCAATGTCTGTAATATCACTCAAATTAACATCACTTGAATTGTTTAGTAACTCATCCAAAATGTCTTTCTCTGTGTTTTCATCAAAAATAATTAAATTATTTGATGAGTCCGTAGAGGAAGGCATCCATATATGGGTAAAACTATCACATTTTTGTTTTGATTTAATTTCCCTAATAATTTTTCTTCTCTTCTCATTTTGCTTATCACTTCTAATCAATTCCTATTAAATCATAAATTTATTACAATTTATTAAATATAATTATAAATACTTTTATCATTCCGACGGCTAAACACTTCTCGAGTCGACATTTTTGACATATACTTCTTGTCAATGGAGTTATAATGCAATTACCATTTGATGGACAATACAATGGCTGACAAAACAATTATAAAGTGATTGTGAATACTGTATAAAATTACAAATTGAATAAAAGTAATTAATACCTTATTCTTAAGTCCATGGCGTCTGAAGAATGATTTACAAGCTTCACATGTTATTACCGTAAAATTATTGCCTAAAAACAATATAATTTCAAATTACAAATTGTTTTTATAAAAAATTCATCACCGAATCGATCCAAAGAGTCTGAAGAATACGTTTCACACATTTTAAAAATACAAATATATAAAGTCTAAACATAAAATAGAAATCATGGCAAATGAATGTTAACAAAAATATTTATACCTCTTTTCTAGTGATAACTATTTACTAAATTTGGTTAGAGTAATCAAAACATGTGATTATTATTGTATTTAGTTTTGAGATTGATTATAAACTCTGTTTTGTAGGAAATAAGCTAAATATAAAATAATTTGTTTATTTTATCTTATTTTTCAAATAAATTCTTTCAAACAACTTTTATTATAAGTTTGAGAACAAAGTATTTGCAAATGTATTGTATTATTAATGATTATTTCCACAATTATATTCAACTAATTATTAATTTGTATAAAAGAATAAAATGAAAATTACAAACAAAACAAGGATCACAGAGATTCTATACGTTAACCACTATTCGTGAAATGCATCAAAGATTTTAAATTTTTAATACAATTGTTGGAATACTTTCATTATTGTTATTTTGAGAATTTTGAATGTTTTTTACAAGAATTAGTTCTATTTATTATGACAGATTCATTTAGTATATCTCCATAAAAAGAGCATGATTCCATTGAAATAACATTACTCCCATAGATTTAGCATTACCCATGTTATCCCTATGACATAGACTTAGCATTACCCATAGACTTATCATTGCCATAGACTTAGCATTATCCATGTTATCTCTATGCCATAGACTTATGCTGTAATTCCATGTTAATTCCCCATAGACTCAAG